GGTCTGGGTCTGGGCCGGTGCTGCGACGATCTGCCTCTACCAGCCGCGCCATTCAGACAGAGGATGGGGATCCTGACCAGTCGCCAAAGCAACCGCCAAAAGCAGACAAGATCTGGTCGATAGGAGGGGGAAGTGGGGGCGGGGGCCTGCGCCGACCGGCGAAACAGTAAAACAAAAAGACGCCGACCTGCTGGTGCCCCTGGTTTTGCCGCTGCTACTCCCGCTCCTGCCATGGGTTCCTCCTCCTCCTCCTCCTCCTCCTCCTCCTCCTCCTCCTCCTCCTCCTCCCTCTCCTCCTCCTCCTCCTCCTCCCTCCTCCTCCTCCTCCTCCTCCTCCTCTCCTCCTCCTCCTCCTCCTCCTCCCTCCTCCTCCTCCTCTCCTCCTCCTCCTCCGCCTCCTCCTCCTCCTCCTCCTCCTCCTCCTCCTCTTCCTCCGCCTGCTCCGCCTCCTCCGCCTGCTCCGCCGCCTCCTCCGCCTCCGCCTCCGCCGCCTCCGCCTCCGCCTCCGCCTCCTCCTCCTCCTCGCTCCTCTCCTCCTCCTCCTCCTCGCCTTCTCCGCCTCCGCCTGCGCCTTCCCTCAGCGGCCTCCGCCCCCTGCCCCGCCTCCGTCTCCTCCTTCTCCTGCTCCTCCACATCCCTCCTCCTCCTCCTCCTCCTCCTCCTCCCCTCCTCTCCTCATCCTCCTCCTCCTGCTCCTCCGCCTCCTCCCTCCTGCTCCTGCTCCTCCTCCTCCTCCGCTCCTCCTCCGCCTCATCATCCCCTCCGCATCCTCCTCTTCATCTGCCCCTCCTCTTCCTTCCTCCTCCTCCTCCTCCTCCTCCTCCTCCTCCTCCTCCTCCTCCTCCTCATCATATCATCATCATCATCATCATCATCATCATCATCATCACACATCATCATCAGCATCATCATCATCATCATCATCATCGTCATCGCATCATCAGCCATCATCATCACATCAGCATCATCATCATCATCATCATCATCATCATCATCATCATCATCATCATCATCATCATCATCATCATCATCATCATCATCATCATCATCATCATCATCTGCCTCCTCCTCCTCCGCCTCCGCCTCCTCCTCCTCCTCCTCCGCCTCCGCCTCCACCTCCGCCTCCACCTCAACCTCCGCCTCCCTGTCGTCCTCCGCTTCATCCTCCTCCTCCTCCGCCTCCCTCCGCCTCCTCCGCCTCCGCCTTCTTCCCCAATGATACTGTGAAGGTAAAAACAAAAAAACGCGAAACCAAATTCGTAGCACTGGAATTCCGACATTCAAAGAGATGGGGCACGGCCCACAGCAACAAGGCCAGGTTGAACAAGTGTTTCCGATGTTCGCGCTGATGTATCACAATTCCAGGGGCAGCCGCCCCCTGGGCCTGCGGCTTCTGCGGGAACTTGCGGCCTCTGAATTGCGAAAGGCCACCGTTATGATTTACTTTCGCGTCCCCACGGCATCATCAACAGTTACACCGTCGACACACCCGTCCACTGCGAGCGGATAGCGTGTCGCTCCGTTTCACTGGGCGGGAGGCTGGGAAGGGCTCGGGACGGTTACGGTCGGGAATAGAGAAGTGGCGGTGACCAGAACCCGCGGCGCGACACACTAAGCCGAAGTTCCCGACCGTACTCTGGTCCTCCGCCTCATCATCTGCGACCTCGCGAACCTCAGAAGCTCAGCCGACGCGCCGCTACATGTAGGCAGGGACCTCACACATGTTGCCCCAGCTTCTGAGGGGTCCCAGGGTGCAGCCCCCCGAGGAGCTTCGAGCGCTCTGCGCTTCTCTAAGTGGGCTGACACCCCGAGTGGAGTAGCTTCCCAGCCTTGGCGCTGGCGAAGCCTCCACACCCTACGCAAAAGATCTCGGGCACGTGTGCCGTGGTGGGCGTTGGCTCGACCCTCGCCCAGTGCAACCTGTGGCCAGAACCCCCTTTACCCTGATGAGTGAAGCAAGCAACGGGTTGGGGCCATCACATTGGGTAGCAGTCGAGCTTGAACCACACGCAGACGTCTTCGGCATCCCATCGCCGAACCGTGGGGCACAGGGTCATGCAGGGGCCCCCGCGGCAGTCGGGGCACCTCGGCCCTGCGGGGCCGAATCAACTTTCCAAGCTGGGCTCCGCACGAGGGACCGCGTTCCAAAACGTGGATGGCTCCAGCGGCAAGGGGATGGCGTTCAAGCTCAGCACTTCCAACATTCTCAAGCTCACGCGGGGCCAGACGGTGAATATGGGCCCCTTGATTGGCCCACCAATCCACGGCGTCCGAACCTTGCACGTCCCTTCAGTCTGATCCACCGCGTCCACCACAGCGGTGAACCTTGATTTTCCGAAGGGAGGACCAGGCCCCATCCCCGACGTCGCGAGCAGTGGACCTCCAGAAAAAAATCCCACCTCGAGGCTCCCCCCAGGGCCTCGAACGGACTGAACACATCCTGGAATCACGCAACGCAGTCCACAGAAATCGGCTTGGGGTGAGACTCAGGGTCCGAGGGGGCCTCATCCTCTTCCTCCCCCTCCTCCTCCTCTTCCTCCTCCTCCTCCTCCTCCTCCTCCTCCTCCTCCTCCTCCTCATCGTTGTCCTCCTCCTCCCACCCTCCTTCCATGAGCCAGGAGCTCGAAGGGGTGTCCCAAGGTGACGCCACGGCTGGCTGCCCACCAATCCAACCCCACCTATTCCTCCCCATCCTCTTTCTATCGTCCCCCTCCTCCTCCTCCTCCTCCTCCTCCTTCTCCTCCTCCTTCGTCTCCTCTCTCTATTTCCCTCTCTCCCTCTCTCCCTCTCTCCCTCTCACTCCCCCTCCCCATCCTCCTCGTCATTATTGCATCTTTGCCTCCACCGCCGCCCAGGAGGGAAGGAGGAGGCGAGAATAGAGGAAAGAAAGTCAGCATCCTGCAGAGGGGAAGCGACAATGGAATCAATCAAAGGCCAAACTGCTGGGCACCGTCCCCCCTCCTTCCCCTCTTTCCCTCTCGGCTCAGCGCAGGGTAATTACTGGGACTGGCAGGCGTGGTCCCCTGAGCAGCCCCTGCCCCATCCTGAGAAGCACGAAGCAATACGAGGCACCCCATCACGCCAATCCCACAGCGAAGGCAGGTATCCTCGTCCGCTCTCTGAGCCCATGGCCCGGACAGACGCGGGCGAGAAAGTCGAGTCACTGCCAGGACAGCGATACTTCACCCAACTGCCGTGCTTTAGATCAAGAAATCAGGGCACTACGCCAGCCTTCGCCAGCTCGGCCCACTCCTCTGCGTCGGGCTTCTTCTCCTCCCACGGCAGCCTGAGATGAGGGGCGGCCCCTGCTGGAAGGGGGGATGGGGGGAGAAGGGAGGGGGTGGGCGAAAGGAGAAGAGCGGAACCACAGGGGTAAGGAGGGGAGGAGGGATGAGGAGGCAGGGAGGGAGGGAGGGAGGGAGGAAGGGAGGGAGGGAGGGAGGGGAGGAGGAGAAGGAGAAGGAGAAGGAGAAGGACGAGGAGAGGGAGGAGGAGGAGAGGAGGAGGAGGAGGAGAAGAAGGACGAGGAGAGAGGAGGAGGAGGAGGAGGAGGGACATCTGAGGGCGCGGACGCATCTGAGGGCGCGGACGCAGGCGCCGCACGCTCAGGGGAAACAGGAGCAGCACCAGCGACGCGTCAGGAGCAGGAGGCCCCGAAACGTGCCCCCGACCCTTGGCCTATACGCTGCCGCGGGATAGCGTCGCGCTGCGTCCAAGTTCTACGTGGCAGGTCTCGCAGACTGCTGGTCAGGGCGGCCATGCGACCCCTGACAGCACGGGAGCATCGCACCCGGGGTGAGGAACGCAGGCCGTGGCCACGCCGCTGCGCCACCGAAAGCCCACCCGGAGAAAACGTGGAGCAGCCCCCCCCTCCTTTTCCTCACGTTGAGCTAGCTGTGCTCGTTTGGCGCACCTGGCCTCCCAGTTCGAACGCAAATGAGCACGCAGACCGGGCAGGTGCTCGAAGTACACAACAGCTCGTCTGGTCGGCCACAGAGCTCAGCGTATAGGCGCCCCGTCTCCCGAACCTGTGCGACGCTGGATCACGTATATACCGAGACCCTTCGCAGATGTCACTGGGCCGTTGGTCGACCACACGACGTGGTGCATACAACGAGCCCCTCCGAAGACCTCCGACCACCTCCGAAGACACGAACCTTTCGGGCCGCTGGCTTCCACGGGGCCCAGTTGGCTCTCCCCTGGGGCCACGCTCCGACAGGGGGGTCGGGAGGGGCTCGAAGTACACACCAAGCCGTCTGGTCGGCCAAGGAACTCGGTGTGCAGACGCCCCAGCTTCCCAACTCGTGGGACGCTGGAGTGTCTATGGAGGCCTCCCAGATGGGGCCATAGCAGATGGGGTCGGAGGATCGCGCCGCATCACCGATGCGCCGGCGATGCATCAGCGACGTCGGCGATGCAGCGGCGACGTCCGCGTGGAGAAAATCGAGATCCACATCGAGCCGCACCGCCGATGCATCGGCGATGCGGAGCGATCCTCGGACTCCATCTTTTCTTCCGGGAGGAGAAGAGATGGGGAGCGCGCGATCACTGAATCACATTACGGCGTGACTGGCACAGTAGCTGCACGAGCCGACCTGCCATAGGCAAGCTCGTGCGATAATCTATGGCTCATCCGACCCCATCTGCTCTGACCCCGTTCGGGAGGCCTGGCGTCTATACTATACGCCGAATGCCGTCTCCAAGTGCTGTGGCTCCGTGGTCGACCCAACGCCGTGGTATGTACACATCGAGCTCCTCCGAAAGGGGGGGGGGCCGCAGGCGGCACCCGCGGGTGCAGAAGAGACGGCCCGCTAGAAAAACTGCGGCGCGGGGGCCTCGCTGCTCGAGAGGGCCGGAGGAGGCCTTGGGCCCGGGGGCACCTTTAGCCGGCAGCGCTTCTTGGGTGGCGAGCGGGGGGGGGGGAAGTGAGACGGAAAAGGCCCCCTCAGAAGGCGGCGCGACTTCTCAGAAGCCCTCGCGCCTTCTGAGAAGTTTGGTCTTGTCTTCGGGGAAGGCTTAGCAAACTTCTCAGAAAGCTGGGGGGTCTTCCCGGCCTTCCGAGAAGGCCCGCCCCCTCTCACTCTCCCCCCTCCGCTCGCCGCCGATCCGCGGCTGCGGAGCGCGCAACGAGCACACGCTTCCGTGCGCAGCTGCCTGCGGCGAATCCTCCGACGATGTGTGCGCTGCACGGCGCGGCAACCAAGCGGGGAGACGCGAGGGAAGAGCGAGTCTGAGGGGGCACGATCGGGGGGGGGGGGGAACTGGCTCGGGTTGGGGAACAAATCGAGCCTGAATCGGCGACGCATCGCCGACAGATCGGCGATAGGCCCCCAATCGAGGGGATCTATCGGAGCCCCATCCAGAAGCAGAACAAAAACGGCAAAAGCATCGATTTGCGGAGATCCGCGCGGGTTTCCTGGGTCAGCGCTGGGCCGCCCTCCCTGGCGCGCAGATCGCGCTGGAGGCGCCGCCAGGACGTGCCGTGTCCGTTTGGAGATCGATGTCTCCCCGCCCTGGCGCTGCTCTTGGGAAGAGCGGAGCGGACGCGGGCCACGCGCGCCGCGCGGCTCGCGTCGCCAGCTGGGCCAGGGCGCACCCCGCTGGGGCACGAGGTCGGTCGACGCAGCGCGAGGGCTCGTAGGCAACCGCAGCGCTGTGAGGGGGCTTTCCAGAGGAGCCTCCAGGATGGAGGGCAGTCGCAAAGAGCCAGCCGGGCAGCAGGAGGCCAGGCGAGGACGAGGGACGAAAGGGACGAGAGGGACGAGAGGGGCGAGAGGGGCGAGAGAGAGAGGGAGGAGGTGGCGAGGCGGAGGAGGGCGAGGAGGGCGAGCACCTACCACCCACCCTTGGCCCCGCGAGCGCGGCCTGGTCGGCACGCTCGTGGGGAAGCGGCCCTTGGCGGCGCCCTGCTTGAGCGCCTCGTCCACCCAGGCCACCTGCTCCTCGGCGCCGCGGCCGGTTCGCTCTCGGCAGCTCGGCTCGGGGTCCCCGCACGGGCCGGGCCCGTGCGGCGCGCTTCTGAATTCAAAAAACTGGCTCTGGAATTCAAAAAACCAGTCTCGGGGCACGGGCGGCGTGCGTGCGCCCCCCAGCGCCGCTTTGGCGCGCTGTCGCCGCCCCTGCTGCCGCCTCCTTGGGTCCGCCTCACTTCTTCGCCTGCCCGGCTCGGATCCTCGGCCTGCGGTCGAGCCTGATGTGAGAGCACGCGAGAGGACACGGGACCCTTCCGAGGGCCGCATCGCCAAGGGAGTGCAGAAGGCGTGGGTTGCGAGACACAGGACAGAAGGGTGCCCTTGATTTGACGGGGGTGACCTACTGTTAGATCGGGCATGTCCTCCTACAGGCGGACTGTGGAAGAAAAGATGAGACATGGTCAAAAATACTCAACAATGGACAAGAAAAAATAAAAACAACAAAAAACGTTCCCTGGCGATTTCTACTGTTCTTGAATATTCCTCCTGTAGAGGAACATGCCCGACTTAAACCCACTGATCAAACTCGACTGCACCGTGACCGCCGTGGTGATGCGCACGCGGCCGCCGACGGAAAAAGCATGCAGCGGGCTGCAACAGCGCACCTGCAGCGGCCGCGCACGCGCAGCTGCCTGCGCGCGTGCAGCCCACGCGGGCAGGAGTCGGCGAGGGCCGCCCGTGGATGGAGGCCGCCCACTTCGGGTCGGAGCAGGGTCGGAGGATCGCACCACATCGCACCACATCGTCGACGCATCGGCGATGCATGTGCGGCGTCGGGGTTGAGAAGCCAAGATGGTGGCACGCCATCACGCCCCAGAGGATTGCCGCCGTAGGCCGGCACATTCGCCTGTCTTGGTCTTCCCCCGCCACAACTCTTGAGGCCTCCTGGACGGGGCAGGAGCAAGTGGGGTCTGAGGATCGCACCACGTCGCCGACGCATAGGCGATATGCACCTGCGATGCCGGGATGGGGGGGAATCGGGCTCCAAATCGCGCCGCGTCGCCGATGCATCGGCGATGTGGCGCGGTCCTCCGACCCCGTCTTACCCCAGCCCCACTTGGGCGACATGCACGAAGGAGACCGTTCATTAGGGGAAGGCGGGCTCCGTATGGGCGATGCATCGCCGAGAGATATCGGCGACAGGCTCCCGATGGCAGAACCTCCTGTTCCTGGGCGCCTCCTCCTCCTCCTCCTCCGGGCCCCTGGCTGCGGTGGGCGATTGGAGGTCGATGCATGCCCCCCCCCCCCCTGGACGGACGTACGCGCGAGACGTCTCCAGGGGGACGGGCCGACCAGGCGGCCGGCGCAGTGAGGCCGTGGCCTCCGCCACCTCACTTAGGAGAGGGGACGGGTCGTTTCCCGGGCAGCGGCGCAATCACTGGACACTCGTGCCCAGCTCTCGCCATGGATGTTCCAAGTACTGTCTGCTCGGGCGCTGGCCGGCCACACGCATACACCACGTGATCTCGGTATCACGATGTCATCCTGCTTGTGTGTGTCGTGACTCCGTCACCTGCATCAGCTGCAG